GCCAGCCCCCACCCCCAAGACAACAGTGGCCGTTCTTGGGTGCTTCTTCTAGGTAACTGTCAAGTTCCGAAGGAAATCCAGGTGGGGTCTTGAGTGGACTGAGTAACACTCCGCCTTTACATTATTTCCTACCTGGTCAGCATTGTACACAGGGTCGTTACCAACCTACTGCCATTTGTTTTGTCCCTGGGCATCCGGTCCCTCGCATTGCTCATTGGCTAGGGATTTCGTCGCTGCTGCTAACCGAGGCAGCAGCAAGGGTAGGGGTGGGACAGGGTACCGATGACAGGCTGCTGAGATGAGCGGGCTCTTCTTCCGTTCTCCTCTCTGCCTATCTCTGTCGCTGAGTCCCAGCTCAGCGGCGTCTGGGGAAGCCTGGTCGGCCGGTCCATAAGCCTTTCTGCCTAGAGCAGGTGGGTTTCTAGGTGTTGCCATTGCCACACATAAGCCACGTCAGCCAGCATGGCTCAGGAGCACAGAATTTGTAACTCTGAAGATCTTCTAGGGCTCTCTTGGGGAATCCTGCCCTTAGACACCCCGGCAGGCCCTGCTTTGCTTGTCTGTGTGTCATTGGGTGTGGTGGGATCGGTGAGCGTGGCCTCTCTCACATCGATGCCAACTGCACCACATCCTGCAGCAGCTTCTCAGTTTCCCGGCTGCTGATGGCACACCTGTTGCCCGCACTGATAGCCATCTCTCCCCCGTGTTCTCTTTTGTTGGTCTGAGTCAGTAACATCAACTAGACGTGGGGGTTCATGTGTCAGCATCAGGAAACGTAAGTTTGTCAGTCATGTGGATGTGCGACAACCTTTACCAGTAAGTGGCGAGATAATAAAAATAAGAGTATTCACTGCAAGTTAGTTTGGAGATATGTAGACCCAAACAATCTGACCCTTAGAATTCTCTCTTCCTTTACTTTTGCCTTTTTTAATTCCCCCAAAATATGTTGCCTCAGTGATGGAAATTTATTTTGGCAGGTATTCTGTTCTTCAATAAAAGCAGCTGACACTTTGATAAGAGTCTGTAAAACTTACTTACATGAAGTACACAAAGGTAAGAAGCAGACATCGTCAACAGGAACTTGCAGAAAAGCAGCAGCTGGGGACAGAAGAGTGGTGCACAGTGCCAGTGTCTGTGGAAGAGAGCTGTTGCGGCCTTGAAGACTAGCTGTTTGGCGTCAGAGACCAGCTCGGCCCTGTGAATCTCTGACTGCTGGTGTGGGGGGTTGGTGTGGGAAGTGCTGGAGGGGAAGGAACGGACAACGAGAACATCAACAGTAAAGAATAGATGTCGCTTCTCTAACATCCTTGTCTCATTTGGTCACCTTCAAGGGGGTGCTTGGTGGCTGTCCAGGCTCCAGTCGTGGCTCCACTGCTTTACCAGCCTTGCGCCTCTGTCTGGTCCTTCCCCCAACCCAGTGGGTCACGGTGTAGCCACCCCCCCCCCAGTCTGCAGCTCTCCCTACTCCTTGATGCCTCTGCTCTCGGTGCCACCGTCTCCTCTTCTGCAGCATTGATTGAAACTGCCATTTGATTATTGACTAACTTAGAACATTATTCACGCCAGAAAAAGAACCACGCTTCAGGCAGGTAGAAAGCAAGTCTTGGGGCTGGCACTGTGGTGTATTGGGTAAAGCCACCACTTTCAGTGCTGGCATCCCTATGGGCGCCAGTTGAAGTCCCGGCTGCTCCACTTCCGATCCAGCTCTCTGCTATGACCCAGGAAAGCAGTAGAAGATGGCCCAAGTCCCTGGGCCCCTGCATCCACATGGGAGACCTGGAGGAGGCTCCTGGCTTCAGATCTGCTCAACTCCAGCCATTGTGGCCAATTAAGTGAACCAGTGGATAGAAGACCTCTCTCTCGGCCTCTCTTTCGTGTATAACTCTGACTTTCAAATATTTAAAAATAAAAAAAGAAGAAAGCAAGTCTTGCTACTGTGCCATCCTGGGCAGATCCTAGCACAATATACGCTCAGTATATAGGAGAGGCACAAAGAACAGTGGTCAGTGAATAGAGTAGATGAATTGTGATAATCCCAGATTGCACGTAGCATTTTTTAAAGCTTGCCTCTAGGGGCCGGTTCTGTGGCATAGTAGCCGCTTCTACGGTGCCAGCATCCCATATGGGCACTGGTTCAAGTCCTGGCTGCTCCACTTCCAATTCAGCTCCCTGCTAGTGGCCTGGAAAAGCAGTGAAAGATGGCCCAAATGCTTGGGCCCCTGCACCCGCATGGAAGACCCGGAAGAAGCTCCTGGCTCCTGACTTTGGCCTGGCCCAGTTCCAGCTGTTGCAGTCATTTGGAGAGTGAACCAGCAGATGGAAGTCAGTCTCTCTCTCTCTCCCTCTCCCCCCTCCCTACTCTCAACCCCCCTCCCCATAACTCTGCCTCTCAAATAAATAAATCTTTAAAAAATAAAAGGAAAACAAATCTTGCCTCTAATTGCTAAGTATTCCACAATAGAAGCTGTTTCTGCATCCTCTCTTTGGTAGTTCCAGAATACTTTCATCACCCTCCTCAAAGAAAAGCCTGTGAAAAACAGTCTGGCAACGAACACCTCAAAAGGCCAAACAAGGAGTGACTGGTGCTGTGGCCGACAGCTGATATGGGAATGCTGGTTCGAGTCCTGGCTGCTCCGTTTCCAGCCCAGCTCCCTGCTGATGCCTGGGAAAGCAGTGGAATGTGACTCCAGTGCTTGTATCCCGCCACCCACATGGGAGACCTGGTTGAAGTGCCTGCCTTCGGCTTGGCTCTGCGCCAGCCGTTGCGGCCATTTGGGAGTGAACCAATAGGTGGAAGATCTCTCTCTGTCTTTCCCTTTCTCTCATAACTGCCTTTCAAATAAATCTTTCTTTTAAAAAACAAGTAAAATTCAGAAGGTTAAATAGGAAGCTACTGTATGACCCAGCAATTCCACTTCAGGTTTATAGGCCCAAGAGAATTTAAAATATATGGTGACACAGGGCCGGTGCCGTGGCTCACTTGGTTAATCCTCCACCTGCAGCGCCGGCATCCCATGTGGGCACTGGGTTCTGGTCCCGGTTGCTCCTCTTCCAGTCCAGCTGTCTGCTGTGGCCTGGGAAGGCAGTGGAGGATGGCCCAAGTGCTTGGGCCCTGCACCTGCATGGGAGACCAGGAGGAAACACCTGGCTCCTGGCTTTGGGTCGGCATGGCACACCGGCCGTAGCAGCCATTTGGGGGGTGAACCAACAGAAGGAAGACCTTTCTCTCTGTCTCTCTCACTGTCTAACTCTGCCTGTCAAATTATATATATATATATATACACACACACACACACACACACACACACATATATATATGGTCGCACAAAGACTTGACCATGAATGTTCATAGCAGCACTACTCACAGTAGCCAAAAGGTGAAAAGAACCTCGATACCCATCAGTGGACAAGTGGGTAAACACCGTGTGGTATTTGTATATGATGGACTATTATCTAGCCTTGGAAAAGAATGAAGTTCTGACAGGCTACAGCATGGATGAGCCGAGTGAAAGGAGCCATCACAAAAGACCATATATACATTGCAGATTCACAGAGGCAAGCAGATGGGTGGTTACGAGGGCTGAGACACGCAGGGTGGGGAACAGCTGCTTAACGGGCACAGGCTTTCCTGGCAGTTATGCAGGTAGCCTGGAACTAGATGCTGGTGATGGTTACTGTCACTTTTGGCAAATTTTTTTTGGTGTTTATTTTACTACAGTTTTTTAGAATGATCAGATCCCCTTAAGATACTTAGCCAACAACCTTCAACTTGGCTAAATGCCTAGTCACTGAATTTCTCACTTGAACTAAATCATTTTTGTACTGTCATGGTTACTGTGTCCTAGATTGGAGTTTGACGTTTGGGTCAGCTTGGTCCTATGCACTAAGCTGCACTAAGAGCACTCTAGGTGCTCACGCTGGCCTCTCTCTCTCGGACGGGCGACAGCGCTGGCTGCTGGAGCTCTGTGCCACAGGCAGACTTGCCCAGAGACAGCTCAGAGTTCTGAACACGGCCTAAGCATCACAAAACCTACTTTTATGACTTAGAGTAATTGGTGCAGTCAACTGCTGTTTCAGTGGGCTTTGTAAAAAATCAAAACATGATTCACATACCATGAAGTCCACTCTTTCAAACTGCACGATCTGGTGGCATTTAGTACATTTGCAGTGTTATACAGCCATCCCCTTTATGAAATTCTGTTAATGTTTTCATCACTCCCAAAGAAAACTCAGACCCATTAGCAGGCACTCCTAATTTCCCTCAGCCTCTGGTAGCAACTAAGCTATTTCTATCTCTATGGATTTGCTTATTCTCTCTCTGTCTCTGTCTCTCCCCCTCTCTTTGTAATTCTACCTTTCAAATAAATAAATAGATCTTTTGAAAGAGAGAGAGAGAGAGAGAGATTTCCCATCTGCTGGTTCACTGCCCAGATGGCCACAATGGCCAGGGCTAGGCCAGGACAAAGCCAGGAGCCAGTAGCTTCTTCCAGGTCTGCCATGTGGGTAACAGGGGTCCAAGCACTTCAGCCATCTTCTACTGCTTCCCCAGGTGCATTAGCAGAAAGCTGGATCAAAACTGGAGTAGCCAGGACACTCACCAGCACCCGTATGCGATGCTGGCATTGCAGGCGGCAGGTCTACCTGCTACACCACAATACCAGCCTCACAGCAGGATATTTTTTAGAGTTATTTATTTGAAATAGTTACTGACAGAGAGAGAGAGAGAGAGAGGTCTTCCATCTGCTTGTTCACTCCCCAAATGGCTACAATGGCCAAAGTGGAGCTGATCCAAAGCCAGGAGTCAGAAGCTTCATCCAGTCTCCCAGATGGGTGCTGGGGCCCAAGCACTTGGGCCGTCCTCCACTGCTTTCCCAGGTGCATTAGCAGAGAGCTGGATCGGAAGTAGAGCAGCTGAGACTCAAACCAGTGCCCATATGGGATACCGACATTACAGGCAGCAGCTTAACCTGTTGTGCCGCAATGCTAGCCCCAAGGTTTTCGCTTTATAAAGATGAGTTTGGGGGCAGGTGTTGTGGCATAGCAGGTTAAGCTGCTGCTTGGAAGCTTGCGTCCCATGTTGGAGTGCCTGATTTAAGTCCCACCTCCACTTCTGGACTAGCTCCCTGCTAATGTGTACCCTGGGAGGCAGCAGATGACAAATACTTGGGTCCCTGACACCCATGGGAGAGACCTGGATGGTGTTCCTGGCTCCTGATTTTGGCTTGTTTCAGCTGTTGTTGTTGGCAGGCATTTGAAGATTTATTTTATTCATTTGAAAGGTAGAGTTAGAAAAAGGGAGAAACAGAGACCTTTTACCCACTGGTTCACTCCCCAAATGACTGCAATGGCTGGGGCTGGGCCAGGCCAGTGCCAGGAGTCTGGAGCTCCATCTGGGTCTCCTACGTGGATGGCAGTGGCTCAAGTACTTGAGCATCTTCCACTGCCTTCCGTGGAGCATTTGCAGGGAGCTGCATCAGAAGTGGAGCAGCTGACACTTGAACTAGTACTCACATGGGGTGCTGGTGTTGCAGGCAACAGCTTAACCCACTATGCCACTGTGCCAGCCCCTGTTGGCAGGCATTTAGAGAGCGAACCAGCAGATGGAAGATGTATGTGTGTCTGTTGGTCTCTGTCACTCTGCTTTTCAAATAGTACTGTAGTGTACTGGTTGCCTTTATTTGGGAAGGGATCTGCTTTTGCTTGGCAAGAACTGTGTTTTGTTTAGCTCTTCAAAACAGTTCCTCGTATATTTTCAGAAGTGAGGGATCGAAAATACACTTTGAGTTCAGAGCAGCTCAGCTGAATTGCAGGCTCTGGCAGCATTGCCTTTGAGCTGAAGCCCACCTTCTCCTGCCCCCCAGAGACCACCGAGGCATTCTGTCATGCCAGATTTCTAAAGGGCGGAAGATAGCGAAGCAAAGCATCTCTGCCTTGCTTCCGAGATTCTGCGGGTCGTGCTGGAAGGGGAAGGCAGCAGTGGAGGCCCTGATCAACTGATACGTTAGGGTGGGAGCCAGCAGTGCAGGACGCGCTGGGGAGGCAGCCTCCTCGCTGCCCTTGGTTTGTGGCCTCCAAGAGGGAACCTGAAGTCGAAGGTGCTGAGAAATGTCATCTCCTTAAATGGGCCTAACGTGCGCGTGAAGGAAGTTAGGGAAAGTCAGAATGTCACGGGATCCACAGGTTTCCCCGCGGGGGCCAGAGGCGTGCGTTCCAGTTCTGCTGCTGCTGTAACTTGGCCTTTGAGCTGCTTTTTTGTTTGTTTGTTTGCTTTTGTTTTGTTTTGATCTGAAAACCCCAGGGATTGAGTAGTCCTCTCTCAACTGCAGTAGTCTGGCTGGCTGCACTTGTGATGTGCTGGGCGCCTTGGGTCAGATGAGCACCAGATGCAGCCTCCTGCGACCGCCTGCTGGGCCCTTAGGAGCAGCATTACTGTGGGTTACTTCCCTTTGCCCTCAGGCCCCACAGGATGTAATGATTTAGCCTGAAAGAAAGATTCCTGGAACTTGAGTTGTCCTTCGCCTCCCCAGATGAAGACTTCGACCTGTCTGCGTTCTAGCAGCAACGTCACAGAGTGTTCTATTTCTCGGGAGCCCTAGCGCATGCTTTTTAGATGTTTAAGATTTGTGAGCGAGTTTTTACTTCAGTGCGATATGTATGTTTCTGGAAAAGGTTGTGTTCTGTAAATCACATAAAAACATGTGCTCTTAGAGGAAAAACTGGATTGTGTAGACCCTCAACTTGTGCTATTTGGTAGCCAGAGCTGACCAGTGAAACCATTAGCAATTCTGGTTAAAAGAACACCAAAGCATGTTGAAGTCTTTATCCTTTGTCGCCAGAACCAGAGACTGTGCCCATCGCACAACATTTGCCCCCGACGGTCAGGTTGTCTGGGGCCTCGGCAAGGCCTTCTGTGGCAACGCTTTCTTAAACACAGGGCAGGTATCTTTACACCGTTCTCACTTACACTCACAGCTTTACCATGGAGAGTGTAACCCTATGGAAAGCATAGCGATTCTTTGAGCAACTAAAGAAGGCACTCCCTTCAGGTTGCCAGCTTTTTCTCCTGACGTCTTTGTATATAACATGAAAGCATTCTCTTTGTTAATAAGCTTGCCCATTGCTGCTTCAAAATACTACTGTCCCGGAAAGCGTTGTGGCTCAACTTGGGACATCGGCACGTATGAGCACCAGTTCGAGTCCCAGCTCTGCTTCCTGTTTAGCTCCCTGCTATTGCATACTGGAAGGTAGGAGGTGATGGGTCCCTGCCCCCCATGTGGGAGACCAGGATGGAGTTCTGGGCTCCTGGCTTCAGGCTGGCTGAGCCCTGGCTGTTGTGGATATTTGGAGAGTAAACCAAAGGATGGAAGATGAGTTGATCTTTCTCTCCCCCTCTCCCTCCCTCCCTTGCAAATAAATAAAAATAGACAAGCACTATAAAAATGCTGTCAACCAGTGCAGTTTCTAATCATTTAATTTCATCTCCCTCTTTTTGAGCATAGTTCCCCCAAAAGCCATTTACCATTTGGGATTTGATTGCAGTCACTCCAGAATTCTTCAGCCCTCCTGAGAGCAGATAGTACAGTGATGAGAGGCTCCTCATCTGAATGCCAGAATCCGGTCCAGGGTCACGTGTTACATTCAGTTGTTCCAGCTCTTCAGTCTCCGTATTCTTTTGGGGTTTTTGATTTTTTTAAGATTTATTTATTTATTTGAAAGGTAGAATTGCAGGGAGAGAGAGAGGGAGAGGGAAAGAGAGAGATCTTTCCGCACTCGTTCATTCCCCAAAAGGCCACAACAGCTGGGCTATGCCAGGCCAAAGCTAAGAGCCATGAGCTTCATCTGGGTCTCCCATGTGAGTGTAGGGGCCAAAGCACTTGGGTAATTTTCCACTGCTTTAAGATTTTATTTATTTATTTGAGAGGTAGAGTTACACACAGAGGAGGGGGGGTCTTCCATCTGCTGGTTCACTCCCCCAAATAACTGCAATGGCCAGAGCTGAGCCGACCCGAAGCCAGGAGCCAAGGAAATTCTTCCAGGTCTCCCACATGGGTGCAGGGACCCAAGTACTTGGGCCATCTTCTGCTGCCTTCCCAGGCTATAGCAGAGAGCTGGATTGGAAGAGGAGCAGCCAGGAAAGGAACTGGTGCCCAAGTGGGATGTCGACACTGCAGGCAGTGGCTTAGCCCACTACGGCACAGTGTCAGCTCCACTTTCCATGTGCATTAGCAGGGAGCTAGATCAGAAGTAAAATAGCCAGGACTTGACTTGAACCAGCACCCATATGGGATGCCGGCATTAACAGGTGGCAGCTTAACCTGTTACACCATAACACTATCCCCAGTCTCGTTATTTAGCCTGTATATTTCTTTCTTTCTTTCTTTCTTTTTTTTTGCCTTAAATGCCCCAAGCTCGCATTCTTATGTCTTTTCTAGTTTTTTATTTATCTATTTAAAAGGCAGAGTGACAGAGACCTAGAGACGCAGAGAGGTCTTCCATCTGCTGGTTCACTTCCCAAATGGCCACAACTACCAGGGTCAGGCCAGGCTGAACCCAGGAGCAAGACCTCCGTCCTGGTCTTCCATGTAGGTGGCAGGGGCCAAGCACTAAGGGTATGATCTAGTGCCTCCCAAGTACTTTAGCAGGGAGCTGGATTGGAAACGCAGAGCAGCCAGGGTTTGAAGCACACTCTGATATGAAATGCAGGCCTTCCAAACGGTGGCTTTCCTCTTCCCACCACAAAGTGACCCCCACCTAGTGTCTGCTACAAGATGTTTAGTCCAGCCTTTGTATCCACGTGAGCAGAATGGGTGTCTGCTGGTCCACCCATCCTTCTGGCACAACCATTCTCAGTACTGCTACCCTCGTGACCTCTGTGGACCAAGGACCTCTGTGACTTCGCCAGCCTCATCTTCTGTTATCTCGAAGCCACTGGTGCCCAAGAGACTACTGGTGGTTTCCACACCCATCATGCATAGATTCCCTTATCCAGAGCTGGTTTGCTAGAAGCTTATGGTTGGCCAGAGGGGCACAGCTGTGAAAAGAAGCGTGTAGAGCACACCCCCTCTGTTGTAATTATTCCTGTAGCTGAATTCAGTCATTGCTCCTGTGCCTGGCACTGTGCACTTAGGGAAGATGGAGTCGAGATCCGCAGTGGGGCATTCCAAGTACACTGGGAGGCATGCAGGGTGCCAGCTCATACAGCAGCGGGTGGGGGGGAGGCGATGGAGAGGAGAAGCAGGAGCCAGGCAGGCTTTTTGGACGTGCCATCTTGACTGAACTTGAAAGACAAAAATGAAGACAAAGGAGAGAGAAGGCCCAAAGCTGCTGCTGGTGATGCGGGGCGGATCTCACTGTCACTGTTCCCTCTGTGCAGGGTGGTTCGCAGGGACGATGGGATGGGAACACTCACAGTGGCAGTTGGTGAACACACATGCACCTTTGTAAGGGCAGTGAAGCCCCAGATCTCAAGTTGTCTTTCTTGGCTACTGACTTGTCAGTAACCGCAGGCAGGTTCCTTTGTCTAGTTGTGACCTTCCCTTGTTTATGTGTAACATTCAAAAGTTGAATAGGTGCTTTTGAAGGGACTTGAGATTCTGAAATGTATGAACTTGTGAACCTACTGCTCAGTTAGCCTCCTCATCATCTCAGGGTGTGTGTGTCTACATATGGTAAGTCTGTGATACTCCTGGGGACAGCCCTGAGGAGTCCCCTGGCACCTCAGCCTGGCCTCCCTCCTGTGGCAGAGGCCAAGGGTGAAAACTCAAATAGCTGACCTGTTTGGTATCATTTGTACGCTCACTGCGTGCCCAACAGAGTCCAGGCTCTTTGGAGCCTTTTGTTGCTTTGTTTTTAAATACAGAAAATAAAATAACACCTGCATGCCCTTTGATGCACAAAAATTGAAAATCATCATACTGTCATATTTGCTTTAAGTAACTTCGAATAATACAGATAAAAGGGCCTTTATTCTCCCATCTTCAGTGCTTATTTATTGTACACTTACAAATGGTTAAAAAGGGAGGCCGGCGCCATGGCTCACTTGGTTAATCCTCCGCCTGTGACGCCAGCATCCCATATGGGTGCCGGGTTCTAGTCCCGATTGCTCCTCTTCCAGCCCAGCTCTCTGCTGTGGCCCAGGAGTGCAGTGGAGGATGGCCCAAGTGCTTGGGCCCTGCACCTGCATGGGAGACCAGGAGGAAGCACCTGGCTCCTGGCTTCGGATCAGTGCAGTTCCAGCCATGGCGGCCATTTGGGGGGTGAACCAATGGAAGAAAGACCTTTCTCTCTGTCTCTCTCTCTCTCACTGTCTATAACTCTACCTGTCAAAGAAATGAAAAATTTTAAAAAATGGTTAAAAAGTTTGAACTTTATGTTATATATATTTTACCACCAAAAAAAAAAAAAAAACAGTTCATTTAGGCCAAGTGACACTCTAAGCACCGCTGGTCTCTGCACTGCTAGCTAGTAGCTGAAGAACTGTGATCTCTCTCCTGCCATTCTGGGCTCGTCTCTTACGTAGTCTTCCCTTCTCAGTTAGGCACTGTCGTCCTCCGTCATTCATCCTGGCTCTTGCCCTCATACCAGTCTGCCAGCAGGCTCTGTAAACGGACCCTAAATCCTATGCTGCGTCCAGCCTGGGGCTGCACCAAGACCACTGCTTTCTCTCAGCACCCTACATGCTCCTGGGACCGGTACGATACTGGCTTGTTTAGTAGCCCTGGGATGTCATTGTTGGCCCTAGACTATGTCCCTCTGTGGGTATTCAGAGCATTGCGGTCAACAGTTATTTGAGATAAACCTTTTCTCTGTGGTGTGCTGTCAGTTTGATACTCAGTTAAGCTCATTTGTTTCTGTTGGTTTTAATGTGATGGAGTCTTGTTGATTTTTGTTTTAATTCTGTTTCTGGTTACGTAAACATGATTCAGAAGTCAAAATTCTGCGCAGAGACATGTGTGGCCAGGCCTCACTGCTATGCCTGTACCCTCCTCTTATCCCCACCTACTCAGGTAGGGAACCAGTTTCATTAGTTCCGAGGCGTCCTTCCTTAACTCCCCTTGTTTCTTACACAGGAAGTAGCCTGTGGTGCGCGTGTTTGCACCTTGCTGCTTTCTCTTCACCACGGGGCCTGAAATGACTCCACAGCAGTGTGGAAGGCTCCTCCTCAGCCCCTTCTCCGCTGCTCTGCTCCAGCTGGGGGGCGGCCAGAGTGCATTCAGTAAGTCCCCTGGCTCCGGGGCTCCGAGGTGTCTGCAGTCTTTAGCTGTAGCAAATAGCAGCATGCACATCACATTGGGCATTTCTGGAGGTGCTTCCGCAGGGCAGATTTTAGAAGGTGTTGTTTGATCATGCGGGTTGGACTTCACCTCATAGTGGTTAACATATTTGGGAATACAAGCATGACTTGCAAAGGAGACAGACGTTTCCGATCTGTCTGGTGATTTCTCTCACTCCAGGAGTACAGGTTTTAGGAAACAGCCTTGGCATTGGTTGGAAGTGATGAGTCCTGTCTGTCCGCTACTCTAGCATTTGACTCAGTTTGCCTAGTAGCAAGCTCCTTTCTCCACTCCTTTATGGGAGCTGCCTACTGGGTCGGCCCTAAAGGCTGAACAGGTGGGCCACAGGACACACCTAGCTTCTCAGAAGTGTTCATCATTTCCCGTTAAAGACTCTTAAACCTGGAGACTTGAACATTGTTAGGTTAGGGAAACCCACTGCACAGCGAGGACAGGTACCCTGTGGACTGTGGGATGCATCTTTGCGTAGCTTGGCTGTAAGCGACCCCAGCAGGCCTACTCTACTCCCAAACTGCTGGAGGAAGGTACAGAAGACGGAGGAACTTACGGGTGAGCCAGAGTGCGCCGGGGCATGCCTTCCTTGGGCTCTTGTCCCTTCACAGGAGCCATGCCCGCCTCCCCACGGCTGACCTGGCTGTTCTAGAGTGCCCTTGCAGCTTCTGCGTCCTGATGCTAAACAGCCTTTGATGACTTGCCCACATCAGTTGGGTCCTGATTTCCTGACACTACTTGCAAATGCACACCATGGTGCCTCCGTTGCATAGTCTGCACAGTGTAGACAAGACAAGAAGTTGATCGCGTACACCACCAGGCAGTGTGACTAGCACTGACATGAGCCATAAGGGATAGGAGAGTCCAGGCCTGAGAACACAGAGGATAGGATACTCGTGCTGTTTTCCAGAATGAGATGCTAACAAGTGCCTGGGAGTGGTGCTTCCGAAGGGGTCTCACTGCGACTCCCTCAGAGGCAGCCTGCCGACCTGGCCTGCAGTGTGGTGGGGGGGGGGGGGTAGGGGGTAGGGTTCTGCCCCAGCAGGGATGGGACACAGGGCTGTGCCTGGACCACACCTTTTTCCTTGCTTTTCCATCTGCGTTTGCTGAGGCCAAGGCTGTTCTTTATAAGGGGTACCTCACGATAAAGGCTCACATGGCCTGGGCGCTCTGTTCTGCCTACACCGGTGCCCTGGACGGCAGTCGCTATAGCCCAAGGTAGCAGTATTCATAAGGCGCCTTTGTACCTTGTCCCTGCGTCTCTCACACCAAGTATGCTTCTGAGACAGGGTTGCCCCTTGTCGAGATGAGGAACCCGAGCCAGAGAGTGCTGAGGTCACCTGCTCAGGCCCGTGTTTGGAGAATAGCACACCCAGGATTTGAGCTCAGGGTGCCTGGTTCCAAACCCGTGTGTCCTTCCCATGACATGGCACTGCGTGGCACCTCCCGGAGGGCAGTGCTGGGCCTGGCTGCCCTCAGCACGCTGTGCCGTGCCTCACAGGCTGCTTCGTGATGAAGTACAGATCTGATAGGTGTGTTAATACACTCGCGAACACAGGAGGGGACCCCACCCTCTCGGATCAGTTGGGAGCCTCTGGGCAGCGAGCAGAGCCGCAGGCCCTGACATGCCGCGTCACGGGGCCTGTGCTCAGGAGGAAGACACCTGCTCGGGCTGATCACTCTCCTGCCTTGCCAGGAGCGGGACTTGGAGATGTCCGTGGTGCGGGTCAGGTGAACTTGGCCAACACCTCCAGCAGCCCAAAACTCCTACAGCCTGAGGCTCCCTGGCCTCAGGCTCTGTGTCCTGGGCAAGGGCGTCCAGACCTGGAGGGGCCCAAGCCTGCCTCCGCTCAGTTTTTCTGCAGACTGGTATGTTTCTCTGTGATGCTTACATACTTGTTTAACACTTCAGGGAAGAAAAGTCAGAAGACCAGGACCTCCAGGGCCTCAAGGACAAGCCTCTCAAATTTAAAAAGGTGAAGAAAGATAAGAAAGAAGACAAAGAGGGCAAGCATGAGCCTCTGCAGCCATCAGCCCACCACTCTGCTGAGCCAGCCGAGGCAGGCAAAGCGGAGACGTCAGAAGGATCGGGCTCTGCCCCAGCTGTACCGGAAGCGTCTGCCTCCCCCAAACAGCGGCGTTCCATCATTCGTGACCGGGGACCCATGTACGACGACCCTACCCTGCCTGAAGGTTGGACACGAAAGCTTAAGCAAAGGAAGTCTGGCCGCTCTGCTGGAAAGTATGATGTGTACTTGATCAAGTAAGTGAGAGCGGGGCCCGGCGCGGTAAGCCGGCAGGGCAGGCGCACGGGTCCTCTGGGGTGACGGGAGAGTGTGCACGTAACCTCTCCTGCCGTGAGGGCTTCAGTAATGCCGAGAGCGGGTGTGCTTCGGGGGCCTGCGCACGGGGTCCTTTCCCTGGTCTGGAGGTGGAGTAGCAGCGGGACCTACTCTCATTTGGTTTTCTTCTGTGAATCAGTGGTTCTGGAAACAGAAACGATGCGCTCCCTATTCCTTCCCAACGTTGCCTCTTGGTATTTGTCCAGCTTTGGACTGATAACTGAGCAATTTCTATTGAAGTAAAATAATTTCCAGAGGCAGACATTAAGAGAAGCACATTTCAGTTCTGCCCCTTAAGTCATCCCCAAAACGTTAGCAGTTTTCAAAGGACATTTGTGGAAAGCCTCATTGAATTCGTCAGCTCCCAGAAGGGTGAGCAAAGCCAAGCGTTCTTGTATTGCAGCCAGTTCCCAGAGAGAGGATGCGCTGTGCCTGAGTTCAGACACAAGTGGGGGAGGCCCAGGCACCTAGCAGCGGAATGAGCCCCAGCCTGACAGCCCCTGTTCTACCAGGCCTGACCCCTTGGTTGCTGGATTGTGGAAAGGCCGGGGCAGGAGTTGCCTTGGTGGCAGGCAGGTCCTTGGGGCATCTCAGCCGCAGCTGTTGAACAGCCAGCACCAAGCCATTCCGGCATGAGAGCTGTCCATAGGGTACCCACTGCCACCCGGTGGCCTCGTTCCCGCCCGGGCTGTGTTGCCTTCTGTCTGACCCTAGTTGTAGCCCATCTTGGCTTTTCTTAAATGTGACTCATGTTTGAGGAATAACCTCTGTCAGAGATTTTCGTCACCAGCATCCACTCTGTCCCATCTCCGACATCGCCACGGAAAGCATCTAACTGTTCTTTGTGTCTCTCCGTTTGTCCCTACAGTCCCCAGGGAAAAGCCTTCCGCTCTAAAGTGGAGTTGATTGCGTACTTCGAAAAGGTAGGCGACACCTCCCTGGACCCTAATGATTTTGACTTCACGGTAACTGGGAGAGGGAGCCCCTCCCGACGAGAGCAGAAACCACCTAAGAAGCCCAAATCTCCCAAAGCTCCAGGAACTGGCAGAGGTCGGGGACGCCCCAAAGGCAGTGGCAGCACGAGACCCAAGGCGGCTGCGTCAGAAGGTGTGCAGGTGAAAAGGGTCCTGGAGAAAAGCCCCGGGAAGCTGCTCGTCAAGATGCCTTTCCAGGCCTCGCCGGGGGGCAAGGCCGAGGGGGGTGGGGCCACCACGTCTGCCCAGGTCATGGTCATCAAGCGCCCTGGCAGGAAGCGAAAAGCTGAGGCTGACCCGCAGGCGATTCCCAAAAAACGGGGCCGAAAGCCTGGGAGTGTGGTGGCAGCTGCCGCTGCCGAGGCCAAAAAGAAAGCCGTGAAGGAATCTTCCATCCGGTCCGTGCAGGAGACCGTGCTGCCCATCAAGAAGCGCAAAACCCGGGAGACGGTGAGCATCGAGGTCAAGGAAGTGGTGAAGCCCCTGCTCGTGTCCACCCTGGGCGAGAAGAGCGGCAAGGGACTGAAGACCTGCAAGAGCCCCGGGCGGAAAAGCAAGGAGAGCAGCCCCAAGGGGCGCAGCAGCACCTCCTCGCCCCCCAAGAAGGAGCACCACCACCACCACCACCACTCAGAGTCCCCGAAGGCCCCTGCGCCGCTGCTCCCGCCCCTGCCCCCGCCCCCGCCCGAGCCCGAGAGCTCCGAGGACCCCGCCAGCCCCCCTGAGCCCCAGGACTTGAGCAGCAGTGTCTGCAAAGAGGAGAAGATGCCCCGAGGAGGCTCGCTGGAGAGCGACGGCTGCCCCAAGGAGCCAGCTAAGACTCAGCCCGCGGTCGCTGCCGCCGCCACAGCTGCGGAAAAGTACAAACACCGAGGGGAGGGAGAGCGCAAAGACATTGTCTCATCCTCCATGCCAAGGCCAAACAGAGAGGAGCCTGTGGACAGCCGGACGCCCGTGACCGAGAGAGTTAGCTGACTTTACACAGAGCGCATTGCAAAGCAAACCAACAAGAATAAAGGCAGCTGTTGTCTCTTCTCCTTATGGGTAGGGCTCTGACAAAGCTTCCCGATTAACTGAAATAAAAAATATTTTTTTTTCTTTCAGTAAACTTAGAGTTTCGTGGCTTCAGGGTGGGAGTAGTTGGAGCATTGGGGATGTTTTTCTTACCGACAAGCACAGTCAGGTTGAAGACCTAACCAGGGCCAGAAGTAGCTTTGCACTTTTCTAAACTAGGCTCCTTCAACAAGGCTTGCTGCAGATACTACTGACCAGCCAAGCTGTTGACCAGGCACCTGCCCTCCCACCCAAACCTTTCCCTGTGTGCTCCTGAGGGACAGAGCATTGAGAGGACACGCCCATTTTGGTGCCATTGATGCCCCGCCCACAGCTCCCTCGACTCCCCCACCTCCCCCAAAGCCCACCAGGTTGGGACAGGGAGGTGTGAGGCAGCAGAGACAGTGGGATTCTTTATGGAGAGGAGGATGGAGGTGGCCAGTGGCTATGGCCCACGTGATCCCACCTATGGCGGCACGAAGGACGGCCCCGTGGCAGCCCCAGTCCCAAACTGACAGAGACATTTCACAGGATAGAAGTAGCACTGTCTGCCGTGGCTCCGGCGAGGCTCCGGGGGAGTCATCCCTTTGAGCTGCGAGTGTAGACTGGCCTGAGCCGCGGGAGGGAACGGCCCTGTCCTTGAGGGCTGTCCTCCGGCAGACGGCGCTAGTGAGAGACAGAGCGAGCGAGCGCGCGAGCACACGTGCACGCGCCTGTGGAGGCTGCAGCATGAGGTGCGGGCAGGCTGGCCTGAGTTAGGCACTGAGTGGGCGGGGCGAGAGGGGAGCAGAGGAAAATGTTCTTCCAATTACTTTCCAATTCTCCTGTAGGGACAGCTTAGAATTATTTGCACTATTGAGTCTTCATGTTCCCACTTCAAAACAAACATGCTCTGAGAGCAGACTGGCTTGACTTGGTGACACTTTGTCCCTCAGGCCAGCAGACGTGACGGTGTTCAGAACTACCTGGATCTGTATATACCTGCGCTTGTTTTCAAGTGGGCTCGGCACATAGGGCTCCCACGAAGCTCCGAAACTCTAAGTGTTTGCTGCAATTTTATAAGGACTTCCTGATTGGCTTCTCTTCTCTCCTCCCATTTCTACCTTGCTTCGTTTCATCCTTCCATTTCTTTGCCCCTCTCCCTCCCCCTTCCTCCTACTTCCTCCCTTCTGTCCCCTACAGCTGCAGTGCCCACCCATACCCCAAGCCAGCACTGATTGGTTCTAGGCCCTAGAACCCTGCCTGCCCTTTGCCTTCCCACTGCCAGTACCAGCCCCACCCTGTTCAGAGCCCTGAGGAACCCTGGGTTCTGCTGGGGCCAGCCTGGCCTCTCAAGAGCCAGAGGGCAGCAAGGTCTGATTCTCCTGTGTGTAGCCCCCTGTTCCCTGGAAAGAGAAAGGCCAGAGGCTTCTCAGACCTTGAACCATGAGCGGAGCTCTCCACCTTTCTCCTCTAGAAAAGTGGACCAGAGAAGCTAGAGAGCGCCCTGGGGCCTGCCAGTCGTAAGTGGCCCGGCAGGGCCTCCAGCTGCCAGCCCTGGCCCCACTCGGAAGCCTGGCGCCGAGCATCACGAAGCAAGGCAGCTGGCAGAACCAGTGCAGACACTCCGGAGACCTGAGCTGGCCCCACCCCGGGCCCTCAGCCCCTCGCCTGCTCCCCCCTTTCCCAGGGACATGTGCTTTTGCTCAGCGCAGACTGGGTGGGGCCAGTACAGCCCTCCTTTTGCTATCTGGTCTGTGGGTTGTGGTGTGGATGTTGGAGGCTTGGGCTTGCTGTGGGGTTTAGTCCGTTTTCCTTTGGGGTCCCATCTTTCTAACCTCTGTTCAGGAAGTCCTTATCTAGCTGCATATCTTCATCATATTGGTATATCCTTTTCTGTGTTTACAGAGATGTCTCTTGTATCTAAATCTGTCCAACTGAGAAGTACCTTATCAAAGTAGCAAATGAGACAGCAGTCTTATGCTTCCAGAAACACCCGCAGGCACGTCCCATGTGAGCTGCTGCCATGAACTGTCAAGTGCGTGTTGTCTTGTGTATTTCAGTTATTGTCCCCTGGCTTCCTTACTACGGTGTAATCATGAAGGAGTGAAACATCATAGAAACTGTCTAGCATTTCCTTGCCAGTCTTTAGTGATCAGGAACCATAGTTGACAGTTCCAATCAGTAGCTTAAGAAAAAAACCGTGTTTGTCTCTTCTGGAATGGTTAGAAGTGAGGGAGTTTGCCCCATTCTGTTGGTAGAGTCATAGTTGGACTTTAGCATATTTGTACCCATTTCCCTATGCTGTGACAGCAAGTCTGCACCCAGGCTCCCGTCAGTCCGACCCCTGATCCCTCCACCCGCTCTGCTGTTGATCCTCCCGCCTTCACTTCTGACTCCTCCCCAGAAGGAAGGGGTGGTCAGAGGAGGGCCCTGGTCCTTCGGAATTCCTCACCCTCCTGATCCCACAGTGGCCTCGCACTCCCTGCACCCGCAGAGGCCACCTGTGCACAGCAGCGTGCGGCATGCAGCCAGCTTGTCCCTCAGAAGATGTCTGTCTGGATCAGTCGGGTTTCCACACACTGTGCTTTAGTCCAGTGAATGGTGGCTCCTGGGCCCAGTGTCCAGAGGTGGCCTCGCCTTCGGCGGGTGCGCCTGGTCCTGGGAGGAGGAGTGTGGGGCCACCTGGTGCCCCGGCGCCCACAACACTTGGCTCAGGAGTCGATTGGGAACACAGCATTTCAAGTCTCATTTTCTCTCGGCCGGGCCCCACCTGCAGCTCCCTCGCTCCCCAGCCTCTTTCCCTTCAGAGTTCCTTCCGAAGCTGCAGATGGGGCCCGAGGCTCCTCAGAGATTTCTCGCTGTTTGCCCCTTTCTTCCCCATTCCCTCGTCCCCAGATAAAGGCATCATGAGTCAGTCGCCTTTAAGCAGGCAGCTTTGTCAGTTTATCACCCTGGGAGGCGGGGACCCTGCAGCTCCCCTGCACTCCTGCCTTAGGGTCCGGTTGACAGGAGATCGGAGGGAAAGCCTTAAGCCACGGGATTCTCACCAGCTATGTCCGGCCCAGTTTTGGGGTGTGACCTCGATTTTGTCTGTACTTGAACACTATGAAGATTGGGGGGCATCTTTTAGTGAATATGTGAAGAATACAGGAACTGACCTACAGCTTTCAAATCCCCATGGGGCTAGGTCACTAAGGTCACATCGACAGTCTCCCCTCCCTTTGTTCTAGTTGTTAGCTACTACCTCCTCTCCCGACAGAACACTGTATGTCCTCCAGCTCCTCCCAGGCACGCCCACCCTCCCTGCCTGCCGCTGGGCTTCTCAGAACCAGTAGAATGGCTGGCCCTGGCCATGCAGCGGGCTGGGGACCTCTGGCCGCAGCCAGGCTCCATCGAGTCTCCAAAGGCACAGGGGGTGCCCGTCCATCAGTGCCGCAGTAGCCAAGGGCCCCGGCCTCTCAGCTCTCGGGATGGACATGGGAACCCGAGCGACCCCAGATTGTCACATGCCCAGCGTGTTGCTGACGCTAATCACAGAGGAGAAAGAGACTGCCAGGCTTGATGGGGAAAGGAGTTTCCTGAGCTGACAGGACCTCTGAGTTTTCCGTAACTTTTAGTAAGCTGCTCAAGCCCAGGAGAGAGCAAAAGATTGTGAACTGGAGCCGCCAGGAAAGACCAACTGGATTTCCTTTAGCCCGAGTAGAGCCTGCCAGAGCCATGTAGCCCCTCGCCCCGCGCCAGCCACCACCCCCTTGCCAGAGCATTCCAGCCAGGCTCTCTGGGCTGACTGGGCCGGGGAAGATCACTGGGACCGGTTCTTTGAGAAGACCTTTGTGCGCCAGTTCGTAGCTTGCTGCCCCGAATTGTTTCCTGATTCGAATCACATCAACAGATCCTAGGACTCATGGCTTAGACTTCAAGAAATAAACTAATCCTAGAGCCTCTGTGGACAATTGCATAGGAAATCCCACTCGGGATTTGCCTGGACAACGTGCCGTGGGGGTGGGTAAGGGGTCAGGCACAGCAGCACCCTCGCCCGGGCAGAGCCCGCCGCTCCCGCCGCGTGTTCTCACTCTTCTCTCTCGGCATCAGTGAGCCCTGAGGCATTTGTCAAGTCTCTCCATCGTAGTGTCTTCTCTTTTAGATACCGTACGGCTCTTTAGAAAAGACATAGTCTAACTGTTACAAATCGCTAGGATACTGCCTCCCCCAGGGTCTACAGTTACATGATAAAGGGGAAAAATTGAACACTGACACCAGTTTGCAATAGGTTAGGAGGAAAACCTAGAAAACATTTGGCAGAAAATTACATTTTGATGTTACTGAATGAATAAGAGCCAGGTTTTGCAAAAATACCGACCTAAAAATACTTAGTGCTTGCCCTGAGGTGTCTGCTTCATGGTATAGGCCAAGGGGCATCCAGCCTGAAGCCTCTTGTACTTGAGGAGCGGGGACCAGAGGCTTCCGGAGACTCTAGGCCTTTTGTCACTGGAGAGCCACTCTCTCCCCGGGGAACTGTCCCCAAGGACCTGGTTTCTGACCGTGTCCTTTGAGGGCGGTGTGGAGGTCAGCGGCCTGCCTTGACTCGAAGCTGCAAGAGCCCAGCTGTCCATGTGGGAAAGCGAGGTGTTGACCGGTGAGCCGGAAGGCCCAGCCCCGCCCTGCTGCCCACTGTCTCCTCATCTTGCTCGAGCCTGCCCCCACCTTGGAGTGCGCCCAGGGAACTAGGAAGGAGCTTCTGCCTGAGCGCGTCGTGGGCCCATGCCTGGCGCGCATTCTTCCTGCTTGGCTCTCAGGACCTCAGGCTGAGGCGAAGCGGCTGTGTGGCCAGCACCCTGTTCGCCCCTCGCCCCACAGAGCCTCTTGCTGCCTCCCCAAGCCACCTTGCCCACCTCTCACCTGGTGGGAGGCGCCAAGAGCCCCAGGGGCACAGGGAGAGCAAGTGAGGGCGGTGTGGGAGGGAGGCCCGAGCCCCAGTCCTCGTACGGGCAGAGCACACACCCTCCCAGAAGGAAATGCCGCCTTTGAATCGCAGTGCATTGTGGGCACCTTGCAGACGGCCTTTGCTCCGTAGCTGCCCCGTCGGTCTGACAGTTGCTCAGCAGTGAGAACAGGAGGTTGGCAAGGCTCCTGCCCGTTGACGGCCCCTCCCCTGCAGTGTTTGTGAGTCAAGTGGCAAAGCTGTTCTTCCTGGTGAGCCTGAGTATATCCAGTAACTTAGAGACTCCGCATAGGCCTGCTTCGTCTCCTCTGTCCTGGGCTTTTGTTTTGCTTTTTAGTTCCGCTCTTTGTTTTCTTTTGTCCCTTTTATTTAATGCACCGACTAGACACACAAAGCAGTTGAATTTTTATATATATATATATCTGTATATTGCACAATTATAAACTCATTTTGCTTGTGGCTCCACACACACACACAAAAAGACCTGTTAAAATTATACCTGTTGCTTAATTACAATATTTCTGATAACCATAGCATAGGACAAGGGAAAATAAAAAAGAAAAAAAAATGAAAAAAAAAAAAAAAACGACAAATCTGTCTGCTGGTCACTTCTTCTGTCCAAGCAGATCCTGGTCTTGCCTCGCTTCCCTCAAGGGCTTCCCTGTGCCAAGCGAAGGAGGCCTCTGGGCAGCACCCAGGTTTTGCACTGTTTCTCTTGTGCTTGGGAGAGGGGTCCCAAGATCCAGGGTGGGTACAAGGGTGCTTCCCTTGACCCTGCTGACATCCAGAACGTAGTCAGCAAAGCCTGGTCCCCTCCCCCTCTGGGGCATGGGGAGCCGGGCTCCACGGAGGCTGCCTGACTCCCCCAGCCTCCTCCCAGTGACCCAGTGAGGGCGAGCCCACGGGGGGAGTCCGCCGAGCAGGCCTCTCCACCAGTAGCGTTCAAAGCGCGTCCGCCCTCCCCGCTTGCCGAGTCCAGGAACTGGAGGGGAGATGGGCGACCCGTCCTGTCTCTGAACCTGCGAGCTGCACCAGGTCGAATGCCAGGGACCCCAGATCCACATGCTACCAGTCCACTGGGTCCCCTCTAAGAAGTAGGGAAGACTCCAGAAATGTCCCTTTCTCTTCTCCATTCTACCAGTGATCGCATTTGCTTTTGTCATTCTCAACGAGCAATATCTGCTAGAGTTTTGCTGTAACAGTTCTTTTTGAATCATTTTTTAAGTAATTAAAAACACCAAAAAATAAAATCCAGAAACTTGTTCTTCCAAAGCAGAGAGCATTATAATCACCAGGGCCAAAATCTCCCCTCCCTGTGTCACTGCTTCTTCTGAGGCCTGAATCCAAAAGAGAAAGCAGTCATAGGCCCGTTGCGGGGCTGGGCTACCCCTTGGGCCCCTGGGAGGAAGCAGGGCCCGGGCAGCCTCTGGGCGCCGTCCTGGGCCTGCTCCAGACAGCGTGCGTTCAGTACTAGCAGTGGGTCACGACATCCTTAACCGCCGTGCCGGGGCTGGTGGCAGAGAAGGCCAGCAGGCCTGGTCGCTGCTGTTTGGCCGCTACCAGGTGGGTGTCCGTGCGCGTGCTTTCTGACTGACGGGACATCAGCGGCGAGTTAGCCTCACGCGGAAGGAGCTGGCTGAGCGGCTCAGTGTTTGGGGAGCTGGACGGTGGCGTGCGAAAGGCTTGCAGAACTCGAAGCCTGCTCCTGCCCTTGCTACCACGGCCTCCTTTTCCATTTGATTTGTCACTGCTTCAATCAATACCAGCCGCTCCCGAGTCAGGAGTTGATGAGTAGATGACCAAATATCACCAGGACTGTTAGTGTGTGCCGAGCCCTCTCCTGGTGCCGGCTCCCGTGCACCTGGACACTGTACCGTGTGCTGTGTTTGCTCTCCCTCCCCCGCCCTCTCCTCGTCTTTCTGGGGTTTTTCTGTTTGGGTTTGGTTTGGTTTTTATTTCTCCTTTTGTGTTCCAAACATGGGGTTCTCTCTGCTGGTCCTCTTAACTGTGGTGTTGAGGCTTCTATTTGTGTAATTTTTGGTGGCTGAAAGGAATTTTGCTAAGTAAATCTTCTGTGTTTGAACTGAAATCTGTATTGTAACCATGTTTAAAGTAATTGTTCCAGAGACAAATGCTTCTAGACACCTGGTTTTTTGTTGTTGTTGTTGCTGTTGTTGGGTTTTTTTTTTTTAAACAAGAGCTTTCGGAGGGAGGGGATGGTGACTGAAATGAGAGGGGGGCCCCAAAGAGGTGACCCCTCTCCAGTTCAGCCAGAAACCACCCAAAGAAGTTGAGCCCGGGGAGTCCCAGTCCCAGCCCACACTCCGAATAGCTGATGTGTTGCCATTTTCAAAGTCAGCAAAACCAGTTTCTGTTCCACCCAGTGGATTCTTTTGCCCTCCCCCCAAGATTATTACCATGGTCGTTATTTTGAAGGCAAGACAAAGTTGATATTCCTTTGAGGGGAGCCAGGAGGGGCTGTGTGTGGGCAGAGCTGACCTCGCTGAGGCGTGCCTGCGAAGCCCCCTTGTGGGCACAGGTCAGGGAGACATTGGCTGGCAGAGGATTGGCCACTCCCCCGCTGGCCCAGCTCCCCCTGGAGTGGCCAGCTGGTGGGCACTCTCATCTCCAAGATGTGCCCTGCGGGCACTACCGTCTTTGTTCAAGACCCTTCTGTCACACCCTACCCCACCCCTCCTACGAAGTGCTAATGTCAAGTCTGCCCCACCATCCCTGGACAACTGCTACAGGACCGTGGCGGGGACCCTCTCCCTCCTCACTGTCAAGTGATTCCTTGCAAAATTCCAACACGAGACACCCCTTCCCTTTCCATGGCCAAGAGAGGTCCTTCTCTGAGAAGCCTCTGCCCTCAGCACCTGTCTGGGACTCACGAAACAGGGAAGCGATCCGTGCTCCCTGCGCACCTCACAGCCCCTCCTCCGAAAGGCGGCAGTGCTGACCACTTGCACAGGGGATGCAGGAGCTAGAAGAACCAAACAGGGCATCTGGCCCTTCCCAAGTTGGGGGGCGGGGTCGTGTTCCCCGGGGGCTGAGCTCTGGGGGCTGCGCTGCCAGTGACACACGGGCCGCCCTGTCCTGGGGGAGACTCAGCTGGAGATGTGTCTAAAAGCCCTCGATCACATTCACCCTCAGTTTTTGTGTTTTGGGACAATTACTTTAGAAAATAAGTAGGTCATTTTAAAAAACAAAAAATATTGATTGCTTTTTTGTAGTGTTCAAAAAAAGGTTCTTTGTGTATAGCCAAATGACTGAAAGCACTGATATATTTAAAAACAAAAGGCAATTTATTAAGGCAATTTGTACCATTTCAGTAAACCTGTCTGAATGTACCTGTATACGTTTCAAAAACACCCCCCACTGAATCCCTGTAACCTATTTATTATATAAAGAGTTTGCCTTATAAATTTACATAAAAATGTCCGTTTGTGTCTTTTGTTGTAAAATCAAGTGGTTTTTTCATAAGGTTCTTTTACTATTTGAAAAGATGGGCAGCACGCAGTTTTATTTTATTTTTGTAAGTTTTTTAATACATGTGAAAGCAAAGAATACTCAGCATGCCTTTCTAAGTGACGCGTTTGCACCTTTGTTGGGAAGTACTGTATCCTGTGCTGTTAGCATTCTCGATAAATCTCTCTGTGAAAGTGACTCAAGGTCTGGGCTTTCATTGTAAGACCGAAGTCTCCTCCAGCTCACGTGGCAGCCTCATTGGATCCGGCTGTCCCTGAACACGGATCGTCACAGCAGGACTGCTGGCCAAGAAAGGGAGGCCCGCCTCTGCCATAGGCCGGCCTCCCCGCCGCTGCCGCCGCCGCCTCAGCCACCACCACGGCCACGGCCACGGCCACCGCTGCCGCCGCCTCGGCTCACTCCGAGTCCAAGTTTTCCAAGCACACTGCTCCAGGGTGCGGTGAGGAAGGCCTGGCCTGAGTCTGCCTGCAGAACAGCTAGGTCTGGACGTGCTCTGGGGTCCCCCCCATCCTCAGGGCTCTGTCCCATCGTGGCCAAGACCTTGGTGTGGCCTCTGCTGACTGTTAAGCTTGCTCCCTGACCAGGCAAGGGTATGCCGAGGGACTGCCCAGAGGGGGCGCTGTTGTCACAGGTGTCCTGTAAGGGTGTGGGTTCTCGGGCCACAGGTGTCCTTGGGCGGCTGGTGGAGAGGACAGCTGCTTTAGAGTCCTGGCCTTGAGTGTTAAATGGAAGAAAAGTGAGCCTGTGTGCATGGAGCATCTCTCGAGTACCAAGTCTGTTCTAGGAGGACCACAGGTCCACTCCCGCCAGGCTTAGTGTGTGTGTATGATAACGTCACCCTCCTGGTATCAGCTGTCACTGTGCAAAGCCCCGGGGACTCAGGGCAGGGCTGGCCTCTTTAGGAGCAGCCGCAGTGGCGGCAGCTTCTGGGACGAGGCTCCAGTGGGACTGGCCATGGGCCTTGGATGCAGCTGTCAGTCCTTGGGAGGAATTGAGGGTTAAGGGGACAGTCAGGGAAGGAGACCTGTAGCCTTGCATGCACCTCGCTGGAGAAACGAGAGTATGGCTGCGGTGCCAGGGGTGGGGTGTGCTCTGTGTAATGCGGGAGTCTCGCGGGGAGAGAGGCATACTCAAGGAGAGCACGCACGAGCGAGCACTGCACAGGTGCAGTCGGGCTGTGCACAGTGCTGCGTGCGCAGTCGGGAAGCTGAGCCTGGAGGAATAAGGGCTTGAGCGGCAGGTGCAAACACAACTGCGGGGCATCGTACGTGGCGCACTTAGCACACCTAAGGCCAGCTGAGTGGCTTAGGGTCGCTCATGTGCCCAGAGGACCACACCTGAGGTGCACAGGCAAGGACCACACTCGAGAGCTGGGACTTCACGAAGCTTGGGACGATCTCGTGCGGGAGAGTGCTGTGCTGGGACGGGACCTGAGGAGCCCCACCCCAGGCGGAGACGACCAGGAAACTACCGTGTGTCCAGGTAAGAGGCAGCTGTGAGCCGGGTGGGATGGTAGGACAACAGCGGCTACCGAGATGCATGGCCGAGGAGAGGCCGGAAAAGCCCAACACATCAGTGGGTACAGAACGTCAGGGAACAGGCTGCTGACCGATGTCGGTGACTGACAACTGCTTCAGAAAAGAGGCTGGGAGCGGACCAGACTCGGATGTCCTCAGGGGGACGTGCAAGCTGAGCAGAAGTGTGACAGAAACGGGAGCCGACGGGGACAGGCATTGTGGCACAGCAATGCCAGCATCCCACACAGGCTCTGGTTCGAGTCCCGGCTGCTCCACTTCTGATCCAGCTCCCTGCTAATGGCCTGCGAAAAGCAGTGGCAGACAGCCTGGGTGTTCAGGCCCCTACCACCCACGTGAGAGCCCCGGATGGAGTTCCAGGCTCTTGGCTTCCTCCTGGCCTAGCCCCGGTCAATGTGGCCATTTGGGGAGTGCACCAGCAGATGGAAGATCTCTCCTCCCTCTCTCTCTAACTTTCAAATAAATAAATAAATCTTGAAAGATAAGAGGGAAGAGGGACAGCAGAAGCTGAAGGCCACGCATGCAGGAGTGGAGTACAGGCGTGCTAAGAGACATACATACATATATGTGCTGGAGCAGCTTTCTGAGGAGCCGAGCAGACGGGAACCAGGGCACAGGAGGTAGCCTGGCGGACAAAGCTCCAGACCGTATCCCTGTATCCAGCCTCACCACCAAATGGCGGGGGAGGAGGAGGAGGGCCTGGTATGGGGCGGGTGGGGGTGGGGGTTTGCGTGGGAAGCTCTTACGTGACGCACTTCTGACCCCCAGCCTGCCTAAAATTCTACATACTCTCCACTGGCTTCCAAACAAAGCCAAAACTCACAGTGACCGCCCAGTGACTTTTACCAGGGGGGAAATGAGCAGCCTTCCTGGAACAGCCTCTGCCTTTGCCGCATCCTTTATCCCCAAGTGCTGGGAGCCCTGTCTCATCTGTCAGAACCTCACTCGGATGGCCCCTCCTCCTAGAAGGCCGCCGGGGAGAAGGGTCGTGCCAGGCCTGGCGCGGACTTGTCACGTGGAGGACTCAGGGGCCCTTCACCAGGGCGTGTCGAGGGCGGCACGGGGCGCCCCCGTGTGGCCAAGGGGCGCGGCGGCGGCGGCGGGCAAGATGGCGGCGGGCCGGGGCACCGCCTCTTCCGCCGCGCCGGGCGTCGCACGAGGCCGGCTTGAAGGGGAAGTGAGTCAGTGTCCGCGGATCTGGCCGACCTGGTACGCGACCGCCGCGGCCCCGAGAAGAACCGGACCAGCTATACGGAAGTAGAACAGATACAAAAAATAGAAGTGCACCGGGCATGGAGGGTCTTGTGGGGGGAGTAGTGCGAGAATTTCCTCTACTTATGAAGGTCCATCCAGGGATGAGTTGTCCGTGGTTGCGAGAGTAGGCAACAGGGTTCAAGAGATGTAAGGACGTATCTATGTAATGGGTTAGTTTTTTTTTTTTTGTTTTTATTATATATTTCAGTCCGATCACTTCGGAAAGAGGAGATATATTAAGATGCGTTATTTTTTGTTCTGTGTCAGCGGTGGTATGAAGACTAGGTGAATCCGTCTATACATGTAGTAGATTCACGGA